CCGCAAGAATCTTCTCGAGTCTAGCGTTTCCTAGAATAAGAGAGTGGTCTCTACTGTTCGAGAGCCCCACGAAGAATGATGGTGCATCCATCGCTCCTCATAATCGGAAGCCGAGACCAGACGATTGCGAAGTCAGCTCAGACCGTGCGCGGTCCGATCTCTCGCGGGCTCTCTTTCTCCATCTCCCTCTCTCTCTCTCCCTCTCTCTGTTCCTCCCTTTCTTTCTCGCCCTCTCGGGTTCGGCTCGGCCTCTCGACCTCGACGCCGATCGAAGTCGAAGCGTATATAACGCGCGCCGCGGCGCGCGGCCGTGGCCGCCGCCGCCGCTGCCGCCACCGTCGATATATTCGGGTCGTTCGGATGGTCGCTCGAATCTCGGAACGAGCACAAATCCATACTGCGCCACGCGCGCAAGAGAGCCGAGGATCGTACTTGGGCCGGCTTCGCTTCTCTCTTTTTTTCGGCGAGCGCCTCGTTCGTCGGTATTGAGAAGGGTGGAGGGGCGGGTGGTGAGCGAACCAGCAGGGTAGCGGCGACGAGAAGAAGAAGGATGAGAAGGAGGAGGGACGACGAGGAAGTTAGAGAGAAGAAAACGGAGTAGGCTGGCGGAGAGCTCTCCGCGGGGATGAAACTCGGGGATCAGAGAAAACGAACAGGGAAGGTAGCAACGTCGGAAACCGTGTGTGTAACGCCGTATGCGTCAGGGGTAGGCGGTGGCTGAAAGAAGAAAACAGAGGGGAGGGAGCGACATGGACAGGAAGGGAGAGAAATGGTTAATGCGGCTCGAGGTGTGAGAGAGACGGAGATTGTAGGAGAAAGAAGAGAGAAGGGGGCGAAGGAAGATGAGGAAGAGGCGAGCGAAAGGGGATGAGCGAGAAGGATCGCGGCTGTATGGACGAAGGGTTGATGAGGGATGCAGGGTATGGGGACGCGAAGGGGAACGATCGCATGGGGGGATGGAAACGCTCGAAGCCGCCGTCCCCGGACGGGGAGCGGCGCGAGAACGAAGATGGCGGCTTGCGCTCGATGACGCCCATCACGTTGTCGTCATTAACATTCACGGGCACGAGACACAGAAATCCAGATACATTGGATGTTGCATATTGCGACGACGATCATGAAGATCGGGAGATCGGACGTTCGTTGGACAACGTGTCCCATTAACGTTGTCGGTGCTCCCGTCGAGAAAAGGGAATCGCGTTGCCACGGGGCGCGAGAACGAGGACGCAGGTGGCGCGACTTCCGCGAGGAGAAAGAATCCGCCCTACAAATCTCTTCCCGCGGGGACAAGGGTGATAGGGAAAGAGAAAGAGAGAGCGGATGCAAGTTCTCGATAGAAGGGGTCGATGGGGTTTCAAAGAGAGGAGAAGGAAGACAGAGAGAATGGACAGGCAGGAAAGAGACGCGGATGGAGAACGGGAGGCAGAGTAGAGGACACAAAGAGTAGGTACCGGGGGTTGTCGGGGGTTGGCGAAAGAACGGAGAAGGGAGCGTGATGGAAGGGGTGGACGGCGAAAGGGTGCGTGATGCGCGCGCGCGCTAAACAGCGCGACACGGAGGGACACGATCCGCGCGAGAGAGAGGGCGCTCTCCCCCGAAGTTTTGCGACGAGTCTCTCCAAGAGGGATCCTCGGGTACGTCCGTGTAGTACAGGAGCTAGCCGATAACGAGCTAGCGCGCAGTGCCTGGTGTCGGCGCGGATCGCGCTTCCGCGGTGTTTCTTCTTTCCTCTTCTTCTTCGTACGTCGTGTCAAAACGCGCGCGCGCGCGCTCGACCGCGCGAGCGGGCAAGCGAGCGAACGAGCGAGCGAAGAGTGGTGTGTACATGTTGTGTGTGTGTGTGTGTCCTACTATTAAAGAGTCTGGTGCGCTCGCCCACTGTGCTCCCTGTCGTCCCTTCCTACGTCGCCGGGCCCGTTCCGACGTACGACCGTCGTCGCCGTCGCCGCCGTTACCGTCACCGCCGTCTCCGCCACCTCCGTCGCCTTCGCCGTCCTTTAGAGCCGAGATAGAGATATAAAGGGGAAAGCACACCTACTTTCACCTCGGTGTAACAATCCGGATACATCGGATCCGCGTCGTGTCGCCGCGCAACCCGACGCACCCGCCGCGGGTCTAACCCTCCCCCGTTCGGGGGGGCGCGAACAGAGTGGATTCGCCGTAACCCTTTCGAAGCCGTCGTTCGTGTCGCGCGAACAACACCCCCTACCCGTCTCTTTTCTCTCATCTTCATTCCCTCGCCTCCTCCCCTCGTGAACGTCCGTCCGCGATCGACGTACCCGATATTTGCGATCGTGGATTACGATCGTCGAAGCGCATCAAGCGAGTGGAGTGGAGAATAAATAGCTAACGGAGGATTGGGGCCCCCCGCGCGCGAAGCAATGGTATTGCATCCCAGAGAAAGAGAGAGAGAGGCAAATGTTATATAACAAATGTATCAATTACCAATATAGATCAGTAATCCCGACAACGATCGCGCTGATGAGGAGGAACGTGCTTACGCGTACATACATAGAACATCGCCTTTTCCTTCCCCGTGCATGTGCTAGATTGTCGCACGTGTGCATATTGGTATTACAAGCGCGTTAAAGAGATGCGAGAAAAAGGAAAGAAAAACGAAATAATCTCCTAAGTAGGTAACGATATTCCAAAGAGAACCTATCGGAAAAATAGAATTGATAAAGACAACGTCGTGAGCAGAGCGTAGGATAGATCCCACAGTTCACCGAGAACAAGAAGAATTTTTCCCGCAACGCGACGAGTGGATGTTAATTCCGATTTTATCATCATCGTCGTCACCACGTTACGAGCTTTTCGACTAGGATCCGTCCGAGCGAAGCGTTATTCTTCGGTGGCGCGTGCCGCCGTCCATCGCCGAGATCCGAGAGTGGAATCGTCGGGCGCAGAGGAGCGCCGCGACAAGGCTGCACACACGGGGGTGACAATGCGCCGATGCGACGACGGTGGTGCCAGCAGCAGCAGCAGCAGCAGCAGCAGGGTCCCGAGCACCACCGCCAGCACGGAGCGGCCTCCAGCGCGTACCTCCAGCGTCGCGGCAATCCTCGCTATGACGACGATGTCCTAATCCTAATAATGCCCCTTCGTACGTTCCTTCTTCGTCGCGACCGCGAGATACCCGCTGGTGTCTGCCCATACTCATCGTCATCGCCGTGATATTTCGTCATCGTCGTCTTTCTCGCCCTCCTTCGGAAACGTAATCGAGAACCGTGAGAGAAAAAAAGAGAGAAAGAGAGAGAGAGAGAAAAAGTGCGCCCTCCGGTTTTTCGCGTAAATCCTCTGTACGCGTAATTAATTTGGTCATCCCGTCTTCTGGGTATAGGCGAACGCGAGAGTGGCGGTGGCGATGGTGTGGTTTGAGTGGTGAAACGCCATAACCTTCACTCTTTCTCCCTCTCTCGCCCAGGAACCACCGCTGAAGAATCACTGTGACATCAATGTTGCTGTGTCGAGTTCGAATCGCCGTGTGTTCATCTCCCGTCGTCGCGATTCCGACGCGATTCGAGTGAGTGCGCCTTCTTTGTATCTCTGTATTAGTGACGTTCGGGTCGAGTTGGTTGATCGGTTACCGACATACAGTGACCTCGGGATGCGTCCATGAGATCTCGGGTGCGGCGATTTCTGAACAGATTGCCGCTGTCGTCCGCGTCATCGTCACCGCTATCGCCGCCGCCGTCGTCGTCGTCGTCGTCGTCGTCGTCGTCGTTATCGTCGTGGTGGTGCGTATTGTCGTGCCACCACCGGCCGTGATCATCGGCAACGACAGGCAGCAGCAAAGGGTGCAAGGAGAAGGAGGAAGAGGAGAAAGAGAAGGAGGAGGAGGAGGGTACGTAGCCGGGCGTTCAGGATGCAGCATGAACCTCGGTGCCCCGCACTGGGAGCTCGCGAGCCTCGGCAGGGGGACTACGACGACGACGAAGCGGGTGTTGTTCAGGTGCTTTCGCATCAGGTTGTCCTCGATACACGCAACGTCGTCGCGCGCGTCGAGAACTGCCGCCGCCGCCGGCGTCGTCGCGCTCACTCGGAAGTGGTGCACAACACCTGGCACAGCGGGGACAGCAACAGCACCAGCAGCAGCAGCATCAGGGAGAGAAGGCACCGCCAGGCCGACGAGAGACACGAGGTGGTGCAAGAGGTGCAGGTGGCGCGGCAGGAGGAAGAAACGAAAGCGGAGGTGGTGGATTATTACGAACGCGTTGCGTTGCCGTTGTTGCTGTCGCCGTCGAGAGAGCTCCTTGCCGGTATTGCCGTCGTCGCCGCAACCACCGCAGCAGCCGCGACTATTGCAGTCGCCGCCGTCTCGGTCGGCCGTGGTACGCTGGTCCAGGGGAACTTCTAAGGGCCCCGCCAACCCGGACCGCTCAGGCAGGCACCTGGGCGACTGGTCCGGGATACGCACGAGCGGGGCTGACATCATCGAACAGCGGGGACACCCCGGCGAGTGGTCGCTCGCCGACAGAGCGACGGGGTGGACGACGACGCGGGTTATCGTGGCGCGAGTTTGCCCGTCATCGCGACGACGAGGGACGCGAACGAGAAGAGAAACGGAAACGAGAGAAGAGCGTTCCGGTCGAGAGCAAAGATACGTCGAGGTTCGATCACCCGTCCAGGAAGGCGTTGACGTGTATCGCTGCACAGTGGAGAGGGAGAGTGAGGAAAATCTGGCGCGAGTTATCGAGTGGCGGAAGAATATCTCCGATATATCTTCGAGGAAACATTCGGAAGCGGAATCGCCTGAACGGTCACGTTGCGCAGCGTTGCTGGCGTCATGTCACAGCAAACGTACCGGAAATAACGGTAGCAGCTGTAGCAGCAGCAGCAGCCGCAGCAGCAGCGTCACGGGTCGCTCCGCGTACGGCGTTCCGGGAGCACGAAGAGTCGAGTGTCGGGGAACAGAGCGCGTGCCGAGAGGCGGGCCTCAGATTTGGTGGCAGCGATGCGGGGCCTCCTGCAGCAGCCCGGCTGCGACACGGATCATCTACGCAACGAGTCCATCACGAGTCATCTTTTTTGTCATCAACCGGCGTGCGCGATACGGAGGAAAAGGAGGCAGCGGCAGCGAGAAGATCGGTCGGTTTTGCTGGAGAAAGGCGAAGCACGTCGCGTCGTACGGCTACGAACGTGCGCGCCGAGGAACGTCGACGAAGAGGAGCGCGACGACGACGGCAGGACGTCGGGGACGTTAGCGTCCCCGATTATCCCGTCGCGCCCATGCGGCTCGACCCGTTCGAACTCACGGGACCACCTACGTCGAAAAAATGGAGAAAGGGGAAGAGAAGGGAACAGAAAGAGGAGAAGGAGCAGCAGCTCTGGTTATCGTCGTCGTCGTCGTTGTCATCGATCTCGTTCGTGGAGTGCGTACGGTCTGACCGCGCCGCGTGTCATTCGTACACGTCGTCCAGGCCATTCCCCAAGTCGATTCGCGATCGCGTCGTCGACGACGGTAGCGTATCCGCCGCGCAACACCATCACGAAGCCCGACACTACGAGGCCGGGCATGGACCTGACGAGAAAGCCGGAACTGCCACTGCCTTTCGCATCTCTCGCGATTTCGCTTCGCGCGGCGAGGTGCGCGCGCGCACACGTGATCGCCAAGAGGACGATCACGAGGACGAGGATGATAATGATAGCGACGCGTTGCGCGCGCGGACACGCATTCTTCGCGCTGATCGTTCGTCGCCGCGACGACGACGGGCCCCGCGATTCGCTCGAAGAGCAAGAAGAAGGTCACGAAGAAGACGAGGGAGCGGAGCGATCTCCGAGGACGGGCCCGATGTGGCTACCTCGGCCGTTTCTTTCGTCGACGTGCATGCTTACACTGCCTATAACGATGACAGAGACGACGACGACGATAAAGAAAACGACGGTGACGACGACGATGACAACGAAGGACAAACGCATTGCGAGCGTAAGAGAATCCACGGTGGGTCCGAGGAGATCCGTGACGAATACGAGGAAGATGAAAACGATGACAACGCGCGTGTTAGTGTTTCGAATAATCCGCGTCGTCCGGGTGACGAATACGAACATGAAAACGCGAACGAAAACGCGCCTCGCGAGGACTACATCCGCACCGAGATGGATGCGAGTATTCGTGGTGTATTCAAGAGTGATCAGTGGGCATCGCAATCCTCTTCGTTTGACGGGAAGAAGGATCGCGAACGCGTCGATGACTATGATTGCGGGTACCCGACAATGGACGAGGTGTTCGACGGGCAAGCACGAAGAAAGGGAGAAAGATGTAGCGAGAGGAGACGTACCGATAACACTGCCTGGTTCCAAAAGCCAATCACTAGGAGAAAAGGAAGAGGCGAAGGAGAAAAAGCAAGAGGAACGGGGGACAAGCCGCGTATACGCAGAAGCTATTACAGGCTGCTGCTGTTCGTGTTGTATCTTCTGGCGTGGCCCCTCCTGTGCTCGAGCAGTCCCTCAGGTCACCTCGCCTCGACTTTCGCGCAGAACCCGACCTTCGCGCACGCCAAGAATCCCGCGCACCGAGGTAATGCCACGCCGCCAGACCCATCGTTGTTCTCGTCGTCGACAGTCATCGAGCACCAATACCAGCATTCGCAACAATACGTTCAGGGTAGCGATACCGATCACAATACCGATAGCGAGCGTCATCGTCATCACCAGCAACAGCAGCAGCAGCAACAGAAGAAAGAGGAGCAACAGGAACAGTCGGATCAAGAGAATTCCGAGCAGCGGCACCCCTACAACGAATACACTTGGGAGGTGAACATGATAAATCCCTGGCTGTCGGCTTGCGATCTGGCGGGACCAGCGCCGACCGATCTTCAGGGTAGCTGTGGAGCACGGGAAATACCCGAGTACTGCCCGAATCCATGTGAAAACGCTTCCGGGATAATGAAGACCTACAATATGGAGATAAATAGGGGGGTCGAGGACGGAGGCGATAGCGGCAGTCGACATGGTGATAAATATAGCACCGCTGAAAAGAAGGAGGAGAAGGAACAGTGCCTTTTATATCTCGAGGAATCGCACAAGAAGATCATCTGTCAAAAGAATAAGAAAACGAGGAATACCGATCTGCTGCGTCGGCTGCGTCTACGGCACTGCTGCGAGCACGCGGTGTTCAACGCCCTGGCGCCGGGCGGTCCGCTCGGCGTGCTAGAGAATGTGCTAGAAGGCAACGATGAGTGCAATAATGTCTTGGACAAGCTGTTGCAAGTTGATGCCCTGGCCGCGAGGCTGCATTGCGAATTCGAGGAGGTACTGCAGCGCTACGATTGCGCCCAGCCGTACTCCGTCATCCACAACTGCACCCATTGCAAGGTAAGAGGACAATTTCCACATATTCACGATGAGAGAGAAAGAGAGAGAGAGAGAGAGAGAGAGAGAGAGAGAGAACCGTTTAGATGCGCGAATTTCATGTGAATCGCTTTGTCAATTTGAAGGACATTGTCACCTACGTATAAATGACAGAACAATACGCGGGATGATACTGAATTTGAACGTCCGACATTTTTGAGGTACAGAGTATTTTATGTTTTTTAATATTTTATAAATATTAACTTCGTAAATTTATAAATAAATGATGTGGGATGATAGTGAATTTGAACGTTCGACATTTTTAAGATCTTTGCACAAGTACACATATATAGAGCATTTTATGTATTTTAGTATTTCATAAATATTAACTTCGTAAATTCGTAAATGTGTATTGAATTTATTATTCGTACACATTTACGCTTCGTCGCGCGTGATGTATCTGAAAAAATTATTTTAGCTCTCTTAAAAAGGTCATAAATCGTAAGTAATTTGCAATATTTTTCACGGTTGAAAATTTAAAAGTTCAAGCCTGCTCTATTTTGGAAAAAGCTGGTAGAAAAAATAAACTGTATTTAAAATATGTTTTGGACAGAAATCGAGACATTAATTACTTTTACCCGTTATTAGCAATTTAATAAACTTAGCCATCTTTATCTCTCTGTTATATGTATAATTGTAAAATATTCGATACCCTACTACAATCTGAATGACACACTACATTTCTGCAGCTAATCGTTATTATAGATGTATAAATCTCTCTCTTGGATGTTTTAAACATGTGTGCGCATAGAATTGTTTTGAAAGTAATGCTTATATCGTGCTATAGTTATATTTGAGCTTTGCCAACATTCATGATATTTCAAAATCGGGCTTGTACCGTTTTTGTGACATATCGCTCATATGCAGTTATTTATGAACAATTAAGCGATTAGGATGCGCGTTAATCCGTTTTGATTGGAATGCAAAGGAATTTCGCGCGATCGCAAGCGTTCGTGAGCGTGAGCGAAATTGTTGGAAATTCTCGCGGGCTGTTCCCGGGAGTTTGTATCACGCTCGTGTCTAATATGGGGCGTAGTAAATTTACTCGCGGCATTTCACCATGAGATCTCCTCGGGGCACCGTGAGAAAGAGAGAGACAGTAGACGGCTTTGCGGTGCCTTATGCTGTTCGCCGTTGAGTTGAACGCGTAAATTATGCGAAGCATTACGTAATCATAATTTGATATGAGGCATTCGTTGAGATTAGAAGAACCGTGGAGAGATTCCTCAGACTCTGTTTCCACGAGATTTCGCCACGAGCGTCTCATCTAAACGCGTAGATCTTCCACGTGTACGTCTTTAGACGCATAAATCTCGAAATGCGCGAAGTCGAGCAGCCACGCTGTTAACTTGGACACTTACAACCGTGACTAACTGCTTGGTCGACTATATTTGGACTATTTGGAGGGCGCCCGTATTCTCGAGCGCGCGGATTCAAGAGAATCCGAAAGAGAAGATCCATGATTTTCTCTACCCTTAGATTTGTATATAAACATAGCTAACACGGCTATAAATATCACTCCATGCTCAATTGCAGAGGGACGAATTATTCGAGTCGCGCGCGCGGTCTGTCGATAGACGTCCCGGCCCGGTGTCTACGACAGACGGGACTAATTTCCAGATGAATGGTAAATCGTGGGCGGTTTGCCTTGGAAAGCGAACACTCTGTCGTTGTCGTCGTCGCCACTGTCGTCGTGGTCGTGGTCGTCGTCGTCGTTGTCGTCGTCGCCACTGTCGTCGTCGTCGTCGTCGTCGTCGTCGTCGTCGTCGTCGTCGTCGTCGTCGTCGTCGACGACTCCGTCGTCGAATGAGTTAACGAACAGGTGTTTCTCCCTCGTCCGGCCGATAACGCCGACGCATAAATTGTTCGCTTAGTGATTCGCGGCCCGATTCATTCAACGAGCGTCGAAACTATTTCCAACCGACAGTACCGTCCGTCTTTCTCCGCTTGCCGCGTTGTTCGCATCATTATCATCGTCCATACAAGAGCATACACGAGAGTGGCAGAGTTCGCGCGCGCGGGTAATTCACAATGAGCGGCAATAATACGAGAGCGCATTATGCGCTCGCGACGTGGTTTACACGATAATTATACTGCCCAGCCAGTGCACCCCGCGATTCATGATCAGCAACATCCCTCCCAGTCGTTTTAGTCTAGTTGTAGGCTCGAATCTGTATTTTTTTTACCGTGCGCGATCGTCATCAGAAACGGCCTAATTACACGTTTATCGATTCGCATTCAGTCCTTGGATTGCGTTGATTGACTTAATTCGCCCTACCGTCAGCGATACAATAAGGCTGCAATCGAGGTAATTAGATAAACACGCGTCCGACACGCTCGTAAAAGAGGTGGTAATAGCCACCGCCGATAATTATACATTGGAAAAATTAATTGCGTTGTGTTACCCCCGTTGATTTTAGCGGTTATTCGAGTATTATGCAATTTATTCGCTCCAATTTATCTCGTTACCTTATCGCGATATCATTTGTTACTACAAAAAATATATCTAAAGCGTTCGGCTGTGGTAAATACGATCCTCGCTCGTTTAATTCAGTTCGTTTGTTACGTGAGATCGAGACGCGGATTGATTTTCGTCGGTTTTCGAGACGAGACCGCATCGCTATTGGCAAACTGCATAGCGACGTGTGTAGAATGCGCCCGCAGAACGTGAACGAGCTGCCTTACAATCAGCACTAATGAGCGTTTCCAGCGGAAAAGTGGTGCTCTTTAAAAGCGAATTTAATTTATCGTTGGGAGCTCCTCCTTACTCCCTTTCCCTTGTCCCCGTTTTCCATCCACCGAGAGAGAGCGGAATGATCTTATTTCCTACGGGAGCGACGTTCCGAGCAAATTTGTCCAAATTTACCTACTGACGTTTCGGCAAAACATAGCCCGACTAACGAGGAGAATCTCATCTCAAATGATTGTTTTATTCTTGACGTGTATAGAACATCTGTTACGACTGTGCGGAAATTATATTTCACCGTGCAAGCGTTGCCGTAAAATTGGTAGAAAATGAATACAATTACTCCATATGAAAACGCAGAGTTCGCTCTTCCGCAGATAACGCTATGCATTATACTCTCGCTCACATATATTAAATACATTATCTATTATTATCCATATTCTATATATAAAATGTCTAACCACTGTGTGTCAACAATATTTTAACACACATCATATTCTTTTGCAATTAAAATAAAAAATTCTAAGTCAAGAAATGCGATAAAATTTTGCAATTATTAATTGCAAATCTTAACGATCATGTTCAGAAAGTTATCGCAACAGTTTCTGAGTTCTAAATAATTAAGGATAATATCACGTAAGTTAAACTCTTAAATCCATAATTATATTTAGGTACATGAATATCGATCTATCATCATCAGCAATAGATTTTATAGACGATATAAATTTTTACCGCTTAGCTGATTTTTTATTTTCTTACGTTTAAATACTGGGTATTCAGTTGATATCGATAGCTAAGTTTAAATCTTATGTAAAATACATTATTTAATCTTTTGTTAATTTCTTGACTTAGAAAATATTATGACGTTTTTCATAAAAATTAAAGTATATCTATTTCTATTTTTATCGGAAAAAATTTGCGGAAATTAATTTATTATATTATTACTGTTTTTCCCTCCCCAATATTTTCTATTTCAAAAGAAATAAATTTGTGCGAGTTTAATACATTATAAAAAGGTAAGATAAATTTTTCGTAGCGATTTAACCTTTAAATACCACACCTCTCAAGAATCTCGTAAATGACATGAGGGGTCTAAAAGACCCCAGCATGAAAAATGTCTCCTTACTCATTGATTTTTTGATCTTTAGTTATGAAAATTTTTTTCAATGTTGTTCAAGGCTTAGAAAAGAAAATAAAATGCTTATATTGTTAAAATTTCAATTTCAACATAGTATAAAAAATTAAGTAAACTGAGTACTGCTAAGTGTACAAACGGGTAGGGTACTTTTTCATGTTTAAGTACTAGGTATTGATATCGATTAAATGATAGCCAACAATAAGTTTAAATCTTACATAAAATAAATTATATAATATTTTGTTAATTACTTTACTTAAAAAATATTGTAACATTTTCTTAAAAATTAAAATTTATTTGTTTCTATAAAAAAAATTGTGAAAATTAATTTATTATTATTACTGTTTTTCTCTCTCCAATTTTCTATTCCGAAAGAAATAAAATTTGTATGAATTAATACATAAGAGAATAAGATAAATCTTTCACAACGATTTAATTTTCTTGATTTAGTAAAATCACGTTTTTTTATTTAGAATTTTCTCTAATCCAGAATACATTATTAAAGTATCGTACAATTATTGGACACTCTGTCTGTATATCACATTACATATATTTTCTAAACAAATTCAGCTCTTTCTTTTGAAATAAATAAATTTTTATTTTTAAAATAAATAAACATGCCAGCTAATTATATATTTCTGGCGTTTCTTCTCTAATCAAACTTTAATAGTGAACTCTGAATTATACACAATAAATATAATCGTACATATAAAAATTTGCCTTCTCTTTTCTAAAGTACTTTTTTTCAATGCACACCGTTTATTATTAATGCTACATACTCTTCCAATTAATCTCGATGAGACTATCGTCGCACATTGTGTGCTTCGCTTCGCGAATTCATCGTCTTCGACATCTATTAATTAATGCGCTCGATCGCGAGCGAGATTTTGAAAGTATTGGAAATACTTACCTGAAATCCAATAAGAGCTCTTTCCAAGTCGGCGTTCGAAGCGACGCTGACGAGTCCACGAAACCGAAGCACAAGACGATTCGGAGATAACATTACTCCGATGATGGTCCGTTGAAATCTAAGGCACAAAATATGCAGCGTAACGTTATTTCCGCGTTGTGCACTACGGAAATATTACTAGCGGGGCGGCCGCGGCGCGGGGCGCGGATGACGAGGCGGTTGCCGCTCGGCGCTCGGTTTTGCGTTGGTGTGCCACCGTACGCCGCGTCACGCAACCCCCGCGCGCCGCCCTGTCCATTCTCCATATTCCATTCCCCTCTCGACGCTCGAAGCGGCACGTAGCAGAGCGACTCGCTCCCCGTGCAGTGTTTCTACACCGCGAAATGTGCCGCGATTAGTGCCGCGAGTCTCAGAAAGATATGAATCGTTCTCCACTAACCGTCTCGCGTCGCGTTGCTCGCCCATCACGCAGCTCCCGCCCGATTCCCGCCATTTGGACGACTCGCTGCAGAGACTTTCGTGGCTCTGGTCGAATCGTCGTCGCGCGGTTCATCCGCGGGAATCGCGGCGAGGGGAGAAGCGGAAGGAACCAACTCAACGTCTCGTGACTGAATACTTACCGGCCGACGACCGTTTCTCGCGGGATCGTCGCGCACCTCGCGCCTCGCGCCTCGTCGACTCGGGAATGATCTGCGCGTCCCCCTCGCGCCGCGTACGTCTATCTAGTAGGTACTGCGTGAGTCGTTGGCGCGCGCGTGACTACGTGACGTAGTAACGTAATAAAATCGCGGATCGTGCGAAGTTTTTTCAAACGGTTCGTTCGCGCCTCGAACTGGCTGCCGACTCGACTCGCGTAGTGCCTTCGCGCGGCGTCGCCGTCGCGTCGGTGTGAAGTTGTCGACGTTCGAATCTCTCTCGGCTCGGCACTCGGCCCTTGGCGGAACGCGAAGCGTGATCACGAAGCGGATCGATTCCCGAGCCCAGCGGCGTCGCGACGCGTTCAGTTAGTAAGCGTATTTGTAATTAATGTGTTTGTCGAAAGCGTGACATAAATTTCGCGTTTGTATCCCCGTTAGAACGCCCCGATCGTCCGAGAATCTTCTGCTCCGTCAATTCGCCACGGGCGTCGAGTAGATTGCGTTTTATTCATGCGCGATCTGCTCGACGCCTGATGTCCTTCCTCAATAAAGTGTACGTCGCGCGCGATTAACGGCATTATTCGTCGGGAGTGTCGTGCGAGAGTCGTATTGCCCGATAATCGTGGTAATTTCGCACGGGATAATTAACTCGCGTTTCCGCGAGTGAGTGTGCAAATGCGACCTAATCTAACCTGAGAGGAGGAGGAGGGCCTAGGAGGCATCGGGCGACGGCGGAGCAACCACAGGGTGAGTAAAATTTATTATGTATGCATATATTATATCATGTTATTTGATTTATATTTGCGGTATTGAACGTTTATTCCTGCGTATTTAACGCGGTGATCTTCCACCGATGATTTATTTAGATAACTTAAATAAAAGAGGGAATATAAGAACGTTTATAAAAAATTTTGTTTAGGCAGGAGATCTCTCTCCAAAATTATATAATTTCGTTAATCCTCTTTTTTGGAATTTATATAATAGTTTTGTTTAACACTTTTTTGGAAATTATTTCGTGATTTTAATTATTTAATAATTTTACTGAATATTCCTCAAAGGCAAATAATTCGATGCGTGTGATAGTTTTCCTTGTAAATATTGATTATCTTAAACGTAATATAATTTGGATTTATTTGTATTTTACAGGTTCAACGCAGTTTATAATGCAGTTTAAAACTCCGCTGCTGCGCATTGTTTGGTAAGCTCAAGTTGTCCTAAGAAATAATATAATAATCAACACATTTAACTCTTATGTCTTTTAAAACAATTAAACTAATATTAATGTTATATTAGTGCAAAAAATATATATATAAAGATATACATGTAAAATAAAATAGAATATTATATAATAAATAAAGGCATGATATTAGGTATATGTAATATAGTAAAACAATATTATATAAATAAGCAAATATTGTACAAATAATGTGTAACAAAAATGATTGAAAATTAATTATTACAAAAGCGATACAAGTACAGATTTAATATTCAATTATTAATTATTAGGAGAGAGAGAGAGAGAGAGAAAGAGAGAGAATTGATAACACATACAAATGGTTACTCATAATTTATTTACGGATTAAATCGTCGTGCGTTTATCATTTCAGAGAGGAGAGCATTTGAAGAAATAATTAAATACAAACACAGTTGTTCTCGATTATTTTTGTTATTTATGATTCAAAGTTCACTAACATTGTTTGAAATTATGTTTGAAATTAATCGAAAAGAGAGGAGTGATGAAAATTATGTCACGCATGTTTATTTTATTTTAAGAGATAAGATATTAAAAATAATAGAAAGAAAAATATTCCTCTGTTATATAATACATGTGCAATGTACATGTTGTATAATATATGCACAAATTGTATTATTCGTCATCTTGATTTTGTTAGCGATATTTTTTCCTTTTTTCATAGGGCACGAATAATAAAAGGCTTTTATTCGTCGGAATTAATATCGTTAACGTGCTCGTTCATTAGTCGCGTCGCGTTCAGTCTTACGCACGTGGAAAAATGACAAAATTGTTTACAGACGACTGTACTTTCGTATATTACACTCGGCAAAACGCTCGCTCGGTGACATTAATAAAGCTCATCTCTCATCCGCTCTGGTACTCCGTACGTCCTGGTACTCCCCCCTATCGCTCCCCTCCCCCCTTTCATCCTCATTCTCGTTTTGCAGGAGCCATTGACGGTATATGGAGAGATCCGTAGTATCCTTTCCCTCGAGCAAAAATCCTATTATGACCTGATTCCACCCGCGCCGCCATCTTAAAAAGATGAGAAAATTATGATATAAACCGGTATTGGCGTCGCGGAGAGGATATTACGTGTGGGTTACATGCCGAGTGGCGGTCATATTTATCACTTATTGAATCGACGGGGTGACCAGCAGAAGCCCAATATAATCCTCCCGTGCTGTACGTGTGTAGACCACACGTGTGCCGTTGGTTCGCAAAACGGTCGGCGACCCCGACAACGTATCGGTATTTTAATGAATGTATATCTTAATATCGATTAACGGAGAGATATTTCAGCCACCGTGAACTTTTAAACAAATTATGCTCCATTTATTTAGTTAACTTAACAGACTAGAGATTTGACACGAATTTATTATGCAAACAGTCGACGAATTACTACTCGCTGCAGAAAATATTCCGCGATCGAGAATATTTCTACGCGAAAATGCAATTTTTATTAAGGAAGCTTCCGCGCGGATAAATAAGCACAGTACTCTTGCTCGACGTACAGACGAAGTCCATTCGAGATAAGTTTATGCGCGTATTAAGTAGGCGAAGTTTCTTCCGAGGACGTACTCTAAATGCATATAACCGTTCAATTTTTACCTCCGCGCCGCGCCGTGAAGTTTCGACGAACTGATTTAAGTACTTTTATTGTTCAGCGCGCGACGGAGTTACATTGCAAGGTGGGTAGATATCGCGGGCGCTTACAATCGTCGGAGTGGACGATTTTATCGGCGAAATTCAATTGTGAGGTCTAATCGCGGGGATTGTACCCCTTATAGCCATTCAACTTATGCCAATATTTTTAAGTCTCTTATCGCCCGACAACAGACTAAAGTTGCGTTTTATTTCTCAGAAATCCCCGACGAGAATCTTACCTTAGAAAAACGTTCAGATACTTTGATAAATAAATTCTATATTATCGATATTAATCTAGCGACATGCTAGTGCACTCTCGAAAAATTTCCGGATATACAGCGTTGTAAAACAAGACAGTTCCGCGATTCACAGATAATTTTGCGGTTAGCTTAAAGAGCGGCTAAATTAATCCACGAAGCCGCACGCGCGAGTGGCAAAGATTTCTGCTCGTGGATGACAAAGGTCAAGCAGCGAGTCCGCTTAGCCCCGTGTAGGTATGCACCTATGTGCCTTATTAAAATAACCCGTCGCATCCGAGTGGTCGAGTTGATATATGGATCGCGGGCATTCTTAGACAGCTCCTCTGCGGAGTAGGTGAGTCGGTGAGTGGGTGACTAAATTCGCGCGCAAGTGAAACCTTAAAGTAAAAACATACGCGAGGATGGGACGAATCTCGCAATCAAATTCCAGATGGGATAACAATGGCCGTGAATCGATTTTAGGGTATTCTCGCCAATTTATTCCTAAGTTTATTCTATCGTCTCTCTTCCCGCGTTTCCACCGACGGATTAGCTATTAAATCCCGCCCTCACAAGAGCCTCGAGTCTCATAATAATTCGCGCGCGTTTGAAAATTCTAAATTAACAACGTGCCAAGTGTACTAGATCAGTCATTAGATTCATATTAGTATATATTATAATAAAATATTCATAACTATCATGCGCACAATTTTACCGCAATTAATTAATCTAAAATCTAAACTTATTTTTCAATTATGATCGCACGATTCGTTTCGTATCTTTCTCTTTTTCTCTCCTCTCCATCTTTTTCTCTTCCAGTTTTAAACAGCAATATTTTTTTCTCGCGCTCGGTGATGAATTCGTTGACGAACACGATTTTCGCAGGATGCGAGGCGATCAATCGCGAGCTTCCTGACACGTGAGTGTTGGCGCAACGTTTACGGGCCGTGCGCATGACATCGTCGATATCGGATACGTCGAAATGCGTAAATTGGCTATGAGCGCTTTAGCAAAGTTATACTTGCGCATTATAGAATTGCTCTTCCATTTCCGGAACAATGCACACAACGCCGGTTCTGATGAAAAAGATCACGTGCGCGAGCATTCTCGAATCGTTTTTTTGCAGTCTTTTGTGGCTATTTTTACACGATCTGTTTTAAATTCGATTTAATAATCAATTAACTAATTCAACGATGGCTTGATATGCGTCACGCCGCGGCAATTCGTGCGTTATCGAATTGGAAATGTATTATCGAACATTCTTTTTTCTCCGTTATCGATCGCAGCGAGATAAAACTCTCTCTCTTGTTATATAAATGGCGAATGATAAGAATTTCTACGTGTAATTGATTAGAAACGGGTAATATATATAGAAAGATGAACAGTGAAAATTAATAGCGGGCTTTTAGGAGAGATTAAACGTTACGTACAATTAAATAATGTTGCACGTATCATATAATTAAGCATGCAGCTTAGAATAGCATAGAAATTAACATTTATTTGTGTTAGATGCGTAATTTTATTATTAATTCTATCATATTTCTCCAGTATTGTTTTCCTAAATGTCTAAATTATATCGAAATTGCTACACGGAAAAAAAGGATTTGCTACTATACAGACAACCAACATTTTTTGCTGCGAGAGCTAATTAATTTTGCAATAATACCAAAACCTTTTGCTGCAATAGCAAAGTTCAGCAAAACTTTTTGCTATTGCAACAAAAGGTTTTGCTATTATTGCAAAATTAATTAGCTCTTGCAGCAAAAAATGTTAGTTGTCCCATATTTAACAAATAGATTTGCTATGCAGCAAAACCTTTTTTTTCCGTGTAATAATCGCTAAAGTATTAAATACGTCTTTCTTAAATTATATTTTTAAGCCTGTTTATGAAATTCATTAATACTTTTACGATAATAATTTATTATTATACAAATTCGCGTAATATATTGTTACTTAATTGAGCTGTTTACGGCCAAATATTTATTGCTGTCGAATTCAACATGATCGAAGAGAGAGAATTGCAATTTACCGTGGAATGCGTGTTTAACTTCTTAAACGAGGAACGTGCAGCTCACGATGGTTTCCATTTCAAAGGCTCGCACTTGGAGTTTTACTCCCTACGAACTACTGCATTACAATCTCGGGATTACAGCTCGTTCATATAATTTTCTCGAAACGCATTCCCTAGCGGCTTATCGTTCCCGCGAGCGTATCATCGCGCGCCATTATAATTATTACGAAAATCCTGATTTCCGACATCTTTCGTCGAAAATTTCGCCTCTTTTATTCTTTCTTTTTTTCCCTCTCGCGGATAAAAAGCATTCCTGCGATTTCCGCGATGGCGTATACGCTTGTTGATTGTTGGGATTACAAGTTTGCCCAGCGATCCGTTTGTTACTCCCTTCAAAAAGTAGACAAAAGTTGCCGGCTTGTTTAATGAAGCTCGTTGCCGCCCGCACGCCTTCGGCTGTTTCGGGAAGAGGAGCGAGAAAACGTCGGGGAAAAACGCGATGTTAACGGAACTTTCGATCAAAAGAGACCGGAAAGTCTCATGAACATCGAAGAGTGCCATATTTTTCTCAATTTCGTTCCGAAAGCTCGTTTCGATCTTGCGGAGTATTTATCACTCATCGCGGATTAGTTTTGTAGTGAAAAGCAATCGACGAAGTATTATCGGAAATATACCACAAGCACGAAATTTATTATGGTGCTTTAATAAAAAAACAATTAGGTACATGGAAAGAAAACTCCAAGATGATACACAATAATAGCTATCGCCTTAGATAACATTTTAATTTTGAATCATTATTTTTTTATTGCTTTACAAAACTTGTCTAGTTTTACATTAATTTTATTTTATTTTAATTTATTTATTTTTATTTTATACTCGTTATTTTTACACTGATACAACTAATTGTAAGGTACATTTGTTGTAAGTCGAAAGAGAGAGGCCCATGTTTTATTCACACGCATCGTGTACACGTGTGTGACGTGTGTGTGTGTTTTGTCTGCATCATGCGGCGTCAGGATCGTGTATCGCCTTT